TCCTCCCCACGCCTCTTAACATTTCATCTCACAAATGGAAATGTGGGGGAGCGTGGATCAGGATCTCACCAAAGTCTTCCTTCAGAGCTAGTGAGGATTGTCCCTGGGGAAATACACTGCAGAACTAATCTCCTCCCGCTTTCATACTTGCAAAAACTATCTCATGCTCAATGCACGGGACACATCTGAAACGGGCTGTATTCAGTTGAGGGGGGGAAGCAATCAGCAACCTCACTCGGCTTCAGATTTCACTAGGAAAACACAGATATACCAAGCACCATAAATAAAAGAAGTGGCCAAGCTGTCTGTCTTTCACAATATCTACATTGGCACAATCTGGCTCAAAACAGATTAGGGTTTAACAAAGCTATCGTTTAGAACAGTTTAAAATATCAACGTCCTTCAGAGTCAGCTGGAATCTCAACAGTCCCTTCAGTAAAGGCCAGATTATGCGCTCATGCAAACCCGTACATTTCTCTTATGACAGAAGCCTTTGACTTTTGCCTTCAAGGACTTGTGCTAGCCAGACCCAGCCCGGTGACTGTTTTGTTTCCCTGCTGAAGCGATAGGCATCTAAGTGGAGCAGAAGAGTGGAGACTCTAATTGGATTAACAAGTACTGATTCTCTTAATGGATTCATTGTTGAGAATCAAGCAAGATTATTGATTTTCCTGTAACTATAATTGCCGTTACCTTTTCATACATCGGACACCTCTGGGACAAGTGATTTTACAAAATGGGGGCAGGGGATATCTAAGGCATAATCAGGCTTATCAGAAAACCAGTGTTGAACCCAACCCTTAACTCTCATCCTAGTTTCAGGAAAGAGCAGTACACAACAGAACAACAACAAAATCTCAGAAGTATTCACATTAACAAATTCATGTATTTGCATATATTACATCCTGAAGTGTCTCCCAGGCAGACTTCTAAAACTTTAAAAAAAAAAAAAAAAAAAAAAAAATCAATCAAAACGGGGGTATGCAGAACTTCCTGCTGCAGTAACTTACTGCTTTTGCTTTTCAGATAACTAAGACCTGAAAATCCCCCAAAGAAACCAAAGAACCAACACCCTCATCAATACAGAAACTGATCCCTCATTACAAGTTTTGGTTAGAATCAGGTTTAAAAAAAAAAAAAATAAATCCAGCAGTCTCAGAAAAAAACATGCACCGTGAGGGAGAAAGAGAGGCTCAAGGGCTTCCCAGATCAAAGATGCACCTTCACTTTCCTCCGAGGATGGAGGTTCAGCAGTGAGCATTTTAGATTACTACAGAGTATTGTGGTATTCAAATTAAGAAGCCCGCACCAAGTTGAAAAGGTATTATTAATTTTTTTAAGCTCTTGAAATCAACAGTCATTAAATGGATGCTGCACATAAAAACATTTTCATGTAATTTTTGACTGCTTTATAAAGACGAGGAAGCATCCTTCCTATTTTACAAGTATAAAACAGATTAATAAACATTTAATGTGCTGTGAAATTGGCCAAGTCACTTAATATGAGACCTGATAGTAAGACCTTGCGCCCTGTTAAAAACCGCTAGAGATACATAGAGAGATGTTTAAAAGATTAGTCTTGTTATGGTTTTGTGCAGACACACAGCAACCTAAAAAAATAGCTAACAATCTACTTTTTAAATAACTATCCCTCAACTGTCCCACCATTACCCCCAGTATTCCTAAAAAACAGAGTAATCACTGCAATCCAGATATGCAATCTGGGCTTTGAAAATACTTGAGACTTCTTATCTGGGGGGACAGGAAGAGCTGATTCTAACACATGTGGTCCTGTGTATCAATTTGGAACCAAAAATGGCATTTGTCCTATATCGGAACACGAAATAAAAAATGTCTTTCCTTCAAATTGTATGAGCTAAATGGACTGACATGCATTGTGCCTTTAATGGTCTGCAAACTTGATATTCATAGCAACATTATATTGATGACATGAGACTGTTTACTGCATGGCCAATTTGTCTATGGCGTCAGCTCGCAAACACAGGGTATTTGGGAGCGCGGGGGTGGAAAAGTAGCTACGTAGATGATAAAGAGGCAAAAAAGCATAAGTAGGAGAAGCACAGAGAAATAGGTAAATACGTTCTAGCAAACCTCTGGCCTAGCCAGATATAAAGAAAAGCCCTAAAGAAAAAAACCCCAGTATTACATAGGCATTTAGTTTAATTAGACAATTATAAAGCATTCATGATATACAAAAACATAATCTTAAACATGGATTTAGTAGATCAGCTACTCACATTTTTGTTGCAAACGCAGCAATTCAAAAATTACACTACACGCCAAGAAAAGATAAGTCAATAATGTTATATAAACCAGTTATTAGATTATACTCCCCTGACATCCGCCTGCACAACTCTTCTGTTTCTGTCAAAAAATGAACATGTATTAGGCAATATCATCTAAATATTGTAAACAACGACTGCTTAGAACAAGTGGAGTCAATAACAATATTGTTAGCTTGCACAAATCACAACACAAAATGTATGTGTTTAACTAAAGCATGTTGGCTCAAATCCATGTTTTCTTTTTCAATATTGCACTTAATGTTTGCTGTCTTCTGGAGGATCTGAAGGATGAAAGCATCAATTAACATGCAACAGATACAGACCAAGATTTTCATTTTATCTTTTTGGTTAGTAGTCTTCCTCACTTATTTAAGCAATAAACAGGTAAAAGTTATAAAATATCATTGTGTGCATATTAAGAAATAGCAAACATGATTGAAACAGGAATTTTCTCATCATAGCTTCTCTAGAACAACAGCAGAAAAATTCTTAAAGCCAAACCAAAAAACATACTGTTAAATCAGACTGTGTTCCATTGCTGTAAGTAGTGCTGAAATTCAAACCCATTACGTCCCATGTAAATACCTATTTGTGAAGTGGCAAAAACCACCAAATAACCCAGTAAAATTGCGATTCTCTTTGTCATCTCTAAATGAACTGATGCTGTAAATCATGTACTTAAATGTCTGAAGTGTACAAGCAGCCAAAACTTTGTAAGCCTCAGCTTTAAGATCTTACGTCATTTTATTAGAAATTGTGGTTTGCAGTTTAAGATTCCCCGGGAAAAAAAAAAAATGAAGCCAGCAGAGCAGCAAAGAAACCATGCAAGCTTCCTCTGGGGAAGGAACTTTCCAGGGAACTTTAGGGAAAGTTCACTAGTCTAAGTGTGACTTTTAATTTTGGGTTGTGAAACACGAGTACAACAACTTGTAACACAAAGGCCAATATTTAAGAAAACAATTTAAACGAACTTAAAATAAGGTCCAAATGCACATAACTTCCTGCTTCCCTCCATTTCAAAATTTAAGCTCTGGACTTGAAACTCAGCACTTGACAATGATCCTCTGTAAGTAAACATTGGAAAAGAGATCATTAGAGCTATGTGCCCCCACCTCAGAGAGACAATTTACTACAAATTCCTAAGTTAAATGCATAAAAGTGTGACAATGCAAACGATTCGTCTCTTTTTTTGCAAAACAATGTGATCATAAAGTTCTTAGAATTATTCTAAAAATTACCTCAGGTAACTGAGAATTTTGATCATTGTAATTAACACATTTCTTAAGTGTTTGGTCAAAAGTTTAATTAAGCAATATTCTTGGATTAACTAATCCAATGGAATGAAATATGCAAACATTTACTTCCCCTCTCCCCATAATATTCTTTTGAGGCCACTTCAAGTGGAGTCTTTGAGAAAAATACTTGAGTTTTCTGTACCTCACAAAACAGCAATGTCTTCAGATGTTTAGAGCTACCTTTCAGTTTTGGACATAAAGTAATTAAACTTTGGGATGTGGTTAACGATGTCAGAGGTGCAACGATTCCCTTCTGAAGAGTATGATTCTGCAATGGCTGCCTCTTTCAGTGTGGAAAGAAATTTACTACCCAGATATACAGGTTTATAGTTGCAGAAATATTTGAGTATGAAAGTTGATTTTTTTTTCCCCTGTTTCTACACCAGGAAGGATCAAAGAATGTTAAAAATGAGGCTTAATTGTCTGAAGAAGGTCAGGTGAAGGAAGCACTTGTATCATCATTTGACTCTAACTCTAGAACAAAGTTTAATATCACAGAATGTAAAAAGAGTCAATAATAAAATAATATACATTAAATATTCCTCTTACTTCTGCTAATAGGAACATACATATAGGGTTTTCTCATTTACCAAAAGCCTTTGTAAATGACCTGATTCTATAGAGCTTGGTTTTTTGTAGATACTGTAAACATGTAGAATTTCTAAGGCTAAAAACAGGCACAAGTCTTTCATGAACAGTTATTATTCCTAAAAGCATTAAGGAATATATTCCAAATCTGCTATTCCTTTTTATAACAACGGAAATAATTGAAATATATTATTATATTTCACAATGCAGATTCTTAATTTAAAAAGAAATATAGCTTAATCGTGACAACAATTAATAATATATAGGGAATACTCCTATTTTTTTTAAATTATCTATTACATCAAAAGTACATTTCCAGAATCTCTGTGCTGGGTGTTACTCAATTTTATAAAGTGGTAAATTTACGCAGTGACTAAAACATTTCTAAGAGGGTAAAATTCAACCACATTATGTCAGCATTTTTAGCACCCCGGCTTTATAATAACACAAGTGAGATCTGCAATAGCCATTTTGCAGACTATGATACTAAAGCCACATGGTAGGTGGCACCTTTTAGAAGATGTTAAACTCTCCTCTCCACAATTTCCATGAGGTGATTTTGTTTTGTGCCTCGTTAAGGTACCTGAGCCAACAGTCTTGTTTCAGGCTGGTTTTTCAAGATTTCAGAGGTTTTTCAACCTCTGTAACAGGTTCCCTTTTGCTGAGCAGCTAAGCGTTAGCCAACAATTCAGCAGACTGATTCCAATATATGTTAGCAGCAATGCATTTCCAGAGACACGTTGCAGAAACATTAAAAGCAATTGTCATCTAGAAGTCCTTTCATCCCCTGCACCGTTCTGGACAAAATAACTCACCACCAAGTAATCTTGAATTCATAGATAGGACGCTTGCAGTAATAGTGATTTATCAGGTGTTTATCACACACCCCAATACACTGATGATCCACAGTTATCCCTCTATCAGACAGGTCTGTCACAATACAGTGCAGAAGATCATATACATCAGCGACAGCCTCCCAGGGGCCGAAAGATACATCTACTTCGCAATGATGTTCAAATAGCTTTGTCTCACTTTCACTCCTTTCAAAACGTAAAGAATTGAAATGCGGGCACTCGTAGGGTGTGATGGGCATCTCTTCTTTGAAGACACAGACCTTCAGTTTTGCAAATCTTGCTTTTCTTTGCATAGCTCTCAGCTTTGCTATTTCGATTATCCGTTCCAAATGATCTAAAAAAAAAAAAAAAGGAAATTGAAAATGAAAATGACAATGAAGCACCTAGTAAAAGAAAACAAATGCAATTCTTTCATGTGAAACATATTACTGCAGCATTTAACAAGTTATCCTTCACATAATATTAGCAGCAACAGGAAACCGCGTGTAGCTAGATAGATAGTAATTAAATCCATCTCAGTTATCTTGTGAACTTGGTGTCTTTACTATATGCCCAAGTTTATTCACTTGCAGGTCCTAACAGAACAAATGCAGAGGCAGAGAAACCTTCTCTTTTAATAAGCCTTGCATGTTATGGCCTAGATCTTGCTCCCTTTTAAGACAGGATAAAAATCCACATGCTTGGATACAGCAGGACGTGGAGACCTCAAAGAGCTAAAGAGCACGAAAGGTACATAATAAACTTCTCAAATGCAATGGAATTAGTTTGAAAGCTGAAAGCAGACCTGGAAGCACCATGTACACTACTTGAATCACGCCAGAAGAAACAGTCAGTCAATACTACTTTGTTTATTTACCTTTGTAATATGGCATTAGGCCCAGGAAAGCTTGTCTAACTTTTTCTCCTTTCAGAGGCTGGATATCCTCTAGATTGTCTAGCAATGGTCCTATGGAATAATACTGAGCTTCCTTGTAAACTGACCTCACTCGTTCTCTTGGTGGCAGGTCACCAGATCGCAGAAAGTTAAGTATGTCTCTAAAAAAAGGGCAAAAATACTATTAAGTAACAAGTTTCCACCAGAACAGCTGCAGGTGAGAAAGGAGAGAAAACGCTGCATGTTCATTGTTTATTCTATTGAGATAGAAATCCTTATGCTTAGAAAGAAACTGTGTGAGTCCTATCTCCAACATACGTTTTTAAAAGCCTTTGCCATGTTCAGGTTTCCAGGTCATCGTTTCACATTTTGCCCTTGTTAGCATGAAAACTCATTCAGAAAAATGCCATCATATTTTAAACAAAAATTTCAAGGTGGATTAACCACTTAAAATAGAAGAGCACACAGTATTCCATGGGAAAGAGCTCATAGTCACTGTGTTTCAAATTTAGGTCTGTGACAAAAGACTCTCTTCCATTTTCCTGGAGAATCATATGCATGGACATCTTATCCCACAGAGAACCAGGATTCTAGCTGAATAGATGGGATATTTGCAAAGGAGGTGTTCTCTTTACAGGATCAGGGTCATATACACTTGTAGTATTAATAATAATAATAATAATAATAATAATAATAATAATAATAGAGAGAACATTTCCTTGTAGTTCTGAAACACTGTTAAGCTACAAGATTTTTAACAAGAAAATAAATCCCTTTATAAGCATTAACCAACAAAATTATTATTGACCATATCAAATAAAAGAAGCATTACTGCAATCTTCATTAGAATGTCAACAAATACACCAAGTGCTAACTTGGCCCTCTGTTCCAGCTCTATTTTCAATTCAGATTGATAGCATCACAAATGAATTCATTTTCCAACAAAGAGGCGGGCACTTCCAAATTGGCAAATATAAAGAAACAATTATTTTTCCAATAAATATAGTGGCTTAATCTATTTCTGTCTCAGATTATGGTACAATCCAGATGTGCTTTGGAAATAATTGAATCCTTCTCTGTTGAAGAGATTAAGGAAATGACTACAAAGGAGAAACAAGAAATGTAAGTTAAACTGCAAAGCGTGCTTCAGACAAAGACCTTAACCCATGAACATCAACCCATGAACACTGCTTACCTTTTCTAGCAATCTGACACCAATTCAAACAGAATATTAGTAAGGTCATGGTTAGTTTTATTAAAAATACAACAAAAGCTGAACATATAAGAGGGAATCCTGAAGGTGAAGGAATATGGCACTACCAGCAAAAATAATTTGAAAAACAATTCTTTGAGGCTCATGGTTTTTTACCAGATATGTTGTATCTTGTTTAAACACTGAAATCGTCATAGCTTCAACCATTTTAGAAACCTAGATGCGTTCCTCCCATTCCCTCTTTATCATAAACAGTAATAGCAATTAAAAAAGCAGTGTTGTGCAAAAGATCTTCCTATGAAAAGCAATGCCAAATACATTCTTTCAACGAGGTATCAACTCGATACCTCGAAAAGAGGTACTCTAGAGAAGACAGTGCACAAATTCAAATCATTACTTATTTTTCTTTTCCCATTGTAAAACTTAAGCCCTTAAGAACAGAATAAATAGGTTTTTAATTTTAATTTAATTAAATCATTCTTGTCTTGAGATGTTTTGAAGGCGTGGATGCCAGCCAGTCACATTTGCCTACTACACAAACATGATTTAACTAGAAGGAAAAAAAAAATTTAAAACTTATTTTTCTTTTAAAATAATTTTCCTCAGTAACAACTTTTAAAGTATTCTACTGGGGACACTGTACATACCCAAAGTAGGTTCCATCTCTGTCAATAAAGTATCTGCCTTCAGCATCTGTTGGAATATAGTGTCTTCCACTGAACATAGCCGCCAACATTGTGTCCTCATAACGTCTCAGTGTTGACAGTCTTGTTGTAAAATACATGCCTCCCACGTTTAGTGGAACAACTTCTGGAAACTGCAAAAGCCATTACATCACCAGAAATGAGCCTCTAGTCCTTTGCAAACATGTTCAGGCCAAAGGGGTTGCAACTTCTAGAGGACATAGCATACAGTCTTTGCCACTCTCACATAATTTGGTCCAACAAATGCTTCTTTCCTGGTCTGTTGCCACAAAATAGTGAGGGTCAAGGGTTAATAACTTGAATACTTTGGCTGACTTCTGGGTGTAATCAGTGAATCTTTTTGGTTTAGTTGGAAATCTTAAACAGCAGTAATCATTCAGCTTTAAAAGCAGATATTGATTAAAAGCATGAGTGCTTCCTCTTGGCTCTTTTGGGGAAAGAAAAAGAAAACAAACACCCCCCGCCTCCCTTTCCACACACACACACACACACACACAAAAAGGTAGACAATCGCAGGCCAACCTTGGGACTTGCACTCAGTTGCCACTCTACTGGTTCCTTTACACTGCTATACTATACTATACCCTGAAAAAAACCCAGTGATTCTGTTATTTACATTAGGTTTATAGGCCTAAAATCTTAGTATCACACTTTAAGGTATGTACGTCTCAATACCAGAATAAAAACTTACTTGTCTTTGTCAAGTCCAAACATGGATGCAAATTCTGAGTAATGGTGCCAAGCTATTGAAGTAAAATTCAAGAGACTTAGTTTTACTCGACCATTTAGCTACTAATGGAAACTGAGCTGGCTATCCCTAAGTACTCCAACAAAGAAATCCTGAATTCTTGGGCACCTGAGCAGTACGTGCTGCAATAACTGGCCCTTATCAAATGAACAGTGCCAGAGAGCTCTTACCTGCTGAGGCAGCAGAGGTAGTGCTTGTCCTGCCTGGGTTGCAGTAGGAGTGGCTGGCTCTTGGAAATCATCCTCTGCATCTGAGCTCGACATGGCATCATCCGGGTTTCCACTCACTTTGTTCTGCCCTGTAACTACCACCATCCCTCTGGCTCTCGTAAGCAGGTCTGCTAGGTAGGCAGCCGTGGCAATGCTAAATGGGAAACAAGACCCAAATTACTTAGGCGCTCTCCCCACCAGCTGCAGAAAGAAGATCACGTGGCAGGCAAGGCACGTCGCTCCCCAGCTTCGCGCTGACAATTTACAAAGGCATTGTTATCACTGGGAAATGAATCACAGCAAGGATGACTGTTGTGCTGAGAAACAAACTCGGGAAGGGCTGTCTCTTTGCAGAGCTGTACCAAGGCCCTACAGTCACAGAGCCCCTGCCAGTGGCTGGGTAAGAGACCGGCGTCCATTGGCTGCGCGGTGCAGTGCGTGATTGGCTCCGCCACGCTTTTGCAGCAAAATGTCATTTGCTGGGTGAATTTGGGTGGCTGCTGTTCCAGCCCAGCCATCGCAATAGGCCACCAGCAGAAGCCCGGCCTGAAATGCACGCTGTCATTGGCCGGGCACACTGTGCAACACCCTGGACTCCTGCTCCCAACCAAGCTCCCAGTCTATCACCTTCAGCTGCAAAAGCGGATCAGACCCTGCTATGGACAACGACAGGCACCGTAAAGGCTCTCTTCAGTACTAGCATTTCCTGGAAAATGTGACATCGAGCTTTTTAACAAGAGAAAAGACATTTTCCTGCCCACTGCATCACATCGTACTGTACACAAAGGCACGCGTCTGATACGCACGTATTTAACTCCACGTATTATCGTGTGCATTTACTGCTAATTATCAATTTCCTTTCCTGGACAGACAAAAATGCATAGCGACACCAATTACAATGCTTTCACAGCCTATCTTCAACCAGCAGATGGGACAGACTAACAAGAAGGTGCATTATAAAAATAATAATTGAAAGAGCAGAGTAGGAAAGACTATAGAAACCCTGCTGTTCTCTTTACACCGCATTCTTATGTAAAAAGTACCTCTGTTTACAAGATTGCTCTGGTGTCTCCAGTGGCATCACAACATCCTAACAAAGCCGTTACACCGCTGGGGGCTTTATCTAGTGCTCTGGCCCTGCAAGCTCCTTCTCTCAAGTCACCAGAAAATGTAAAAAGAGAAGGAATATTTGCACAAGCACATCTGGTGCATTTGTTTATTGACTAAATAAATGTTTCAGAAAGGTTGCTTCCAATCAAAACCAACAAGCAGAAATGACATAAAATTTTAATAGCCATGATTAATTCTTCTGCCTTACTAATTCTGCTAATACAGTCATTATGCACATCGTCAGGCTGTCGGTAGATCCTGGCTCTTAAAGGAAACGCTGCAAGTTCAGCATGAACCCAGACAGAACTGGGATGCTCCTGGTCAGAACAGATACTCTTTAGAGAGCTAATCAGATCCAAACCCCCATATTCTGTGGGACTGTACATAGCCTTCTTTCACCAAAATTTGGAGGTGAATTCTAGATCCTGGCTAACACCCATTAGATAAGTAGGTACTGTGAAGTTCCAAAAATTTCTTTCTAAACTGCAGCTTGTTAAGAGGTTTGTCTCAGTTCAAGATAGGTATTTAATTTCTCTTCTCTACAGTCCAAAAGATAAGACTTTGACTTCGTAATCATTTTCCCACCACAGTACAATGCATAGGCAGATAAGTAAGGATGGAAGGGCTTCTCAATGTCCACACCATATTATTTTAATGTTTGTCCTGAAACATTTTATTCTGACATCATCAATTACCAAAACAAATCAACTGTGCCTCACAGATGAAGAACATATACAACATAAATGAAACATTATTTTGGTCAGGACTCCTTTAAGGAGGTAAACAAATTATCATCAAGAAACAGCTTGCAGCAGCTTAATTTAAAAAATGCATAGTCAAAATTGAGCGTGAGTCTGTATTTACTATGAATGTATTATTTGTAATGCTGTTACTCGACACCAGTGCTTTGACTGCGATATTTCCAGTTCTCTTAAGCCTATTCAAAAGAACTCAAGACTGACCAAAAATGTATCCTAAAAAAAAAAAATCTTTAATTGCCTACGTTTTTCAAGAATGTCCCACAGATTTCATGTAAATGGAGTGTATTCTGAATAAACAAAATTCAGCTCCATTAAGTATATTGGAATCATGGACCACAGAATGTGTTTGGGTAAGTTTATCCATTTGGCACTGCACCAAAAAGGTCCTCCTTCCCAAAAGAAGTCGAGGTTTGAGAAAAAGGAATTATTTTTCCTCTTTCCTAATCCTCCTTCAACATGACACCAAGGTTTAGGAAAAAAACATGGGAGAGCACAAGCTAATTATATTGTGCCCATGAGTAATAACCTTCTTCGCCATTGGAACATTCACACAAAACAATTTCCTAAATAGTGAGGCTTAGCATACAAGATCTCAGCCCACAATTAGTCCAGGTTTACAAGAATAAGATTAGTGGCAGTAAAATGAAGAGATTGATCACTGACAAGTTTAACCTGTTTTTTGATGTTCATTAAAAGGTCAGTGAAGTTCCTCTCTAGGTTTGCTTCACTTCCTATTCATCCACGGACACGGAGTAGTGGAACAGCGATATGCTGACTGCAACAGAGTCTTCCTGAAAGAAAAACATAAGCTAATCACTGGGCAGTCTTCTGACATACAGTCTTCTGCATTTTGGTTCTCTGCATTTCAGTTCCCTTAATTTCATGAGGAATATGCATCCATCTGAATATCCTCTTCTTGCCACTTAAAACATGTGCAATCAGTATTATTAACTAGGCATAAAACCATTTCTGTGTAAAATATCTCATTAAAGTTACATGGTTTGTTTTGTTTATTTAAACTAAGTAAACACATCCATCTCACTTTCAAGTATGTCTAGGTCCAGATCAACAGATAATTAATGAGAAAACATCACCAATAAACAAAATGATTACTAAATAAAATATTTAATTGAACCATACATCAGCACCATCCAACACTACCAGAAACACCTCCTTCCAGTTTACAAGCTACCTGTCACTGAAATGGCAGAGATTACTTCCCAGAGCTTCGTTATCGACAGCTCAGGCACTGCCTCACAGTACACACACCAAAGGAAGCTTACCAAGGGAACAGAACCTGCAAGTTCTGCTTCATTCCCTAGGGAATAGCAGCCCTAGAGCTGTGTTGAGTTTTACTTGATGCTAAGATTCAAAAAAGGTTTTCAAGGCTCTGCTGTTCCCTCAATTTTTCTGTATCGGTTTAAACAAGTCTCTCTTAAAATACCTTCTGAGGTTACACTGATGTTAGCAAAATTACATACCTACAAAAAAATGACATAACAATTATATGGTCAAAGTCTTTTTCAAGGTCCTGAGGTATGAATTCATCACAGGAGACCTACACAAACTGCCATTCAAAGCTAACTCATTGGAACATGCTTGTTTTGGGGAGCTACCATCCAGATTGTTAGGAAGGCTCTCCCTTTTTCAAGAGAAACTGTGTCCCTGTGAGGACGCAGAATGAGATGTGACTTAGCAGTCTCTCCATAGCATTTTTCAAGAGACTCAGATGGTCAAAGGTTTGTGTGAACAAAGCGGGAAAAGACACGACATGCAGTTAATTCTAATGAGCCCACATCAGACTAGTGAAGAAATAGCCTGAAAAAGGGCAGGGATCCCTGAGCTGCAGTATTATTATACATTTGTATACAGTATGTATTATACATTTGACTGAGAAATTCTGGACGTACTCAGCATCTCTAATCATTAGCAAAAGACAAAACACAGAGTACGACGAAGGGATACTGTAACTTAACTGGTGCACCAGAGAGCAAAGACACATTGTATGGGAGGATACGATGGGACGCTTCATCTCCGGTGACATTCTTGGGTAGGAACAGGGCAGCGGGGAGGCCGCGCTGGAGGCTGCCAAGGACCAGGGGATTAAGGCTACTCAGGCCCTGCTCGCTGGTTGCGGCAACCGCCGCTTTCCGTAGAATTTCACAGCACGGAGAAGCTTTTATGAGCCTGAAGCAGCTTTCCAACTTCACCACTGTGAGGTGTGGAGGCATCGTTCCATTGTGGACAGGACAGTTCAGTCCCAAGCCAGCTCAGGAACTGAGCCAGACGCGTGGGTAAGCCAGGCGCCTAGAGAAGTATTAATTAGGCACTTAAATATCAACTGCCGCTCGGCGTCTTGCTAGGTCCTCGGAGAAGCTTTTATGAGCCTGAAGCAGCTTTCCAACTTCACCACTGTGAGGTGTGGAGGCATCGTTCCATTGTGGACAGGACAGTTCAGTCCCAAGCCAGCTCAGGAACTGAGCCAGACGCGTGGGTAAGCCAGGCGCCTAGAGAAGTATTAATTAGGCACTTAAATATCAACTGCCGCTCGGCGTCTTGCTAGGTCCTCCCAAGCAACCTAAATGCCAATGGCG